TTTTTTCTTGTTGGTCTTGGACTTAGGCTGAGTTCCAGCTCCTTCCTGCCAGGCGTTGTTAGGCTACCCAAAATCAAATGCTTAGGCGTGTAAGTCTGCAAAATGGCGTCCATAAACAACAAACACAAAAGGACCTCTCAGATCATCCAAAGCACTCCATATATCTACTCGTAGATGAACCCCTAAGATGGCACACCAGTCCAAAGAGCCTGTACAGATGCTTTTTCTTCAGCTTCCTTCTTGTCTTTTGCATTGTCCTGGCACCGTGTTGCATGGCGTACATTTTTCAGGGTTGGGAAAAAGGGTTGGGAACCTACCACAGGGTGCCCTGCCACCTAATGGCTCTAGAAAAAAAGGCCTTTCTGCAAGCTAGAAACAAACACAAAGATGGCACACAGCCCAGCCCCGATTCAAGGAGCCTGATCATTTGACGGCTTTTTCTTCTTGGTCTTGGACTCATCTTGAGTTGCAGCTCCTTCCTGCCAGGCATTGTTAGGCCACCCAAAATCAATGCTTAGGTGTGTAAGTCTGCATAATGGCGTCCATAAACACCAGACACAAAAGGACCTCTCAGATCATCCAAAGGATTCCATATCTACTCTTAAACACGAGTTTAAAGGACCCCACAAGATGGCACACCTGGGCAGCTTGTGGAGATGTTGCTTCATTTGCTTGCTTCTTGCCCTTGGCGTTGTCCTGCCACCATATTGCACGCAATACACATTTCAGGGTTGGGTACAAGGGTTGAGAACCTACCACGGAATAACCTGCCAAGTGATAGTTCTTGGATTATATAAAGGAAATGTCTTTCTACAAGCTACAGGAAAACAACACCGAGATGGCACACAGCCCCAACTCAAAGAGCCTGATCTTTTGACGGTTGGTAGGTGTGTATATATATAAGTTTGCAGAATGGATCGATTCAAAAGAAAAAGATTCTAGATGGCCCCAAAATGACACACAAGGCAAGCGTGACCCAAAGTGCCTCAATGGCTTTAGCACCTTCAGTGTCCACGGTCTGTGCGTCCTTTCTCTGGAACAAGGACTTGATCATATCCTTCCAGCGCTTGTCGTCTTTCTTGGCGTGAGGGTCAGACCGCCACATGTGCACCGCGATGCTCTCTCTGCGGTCAGCCAGCGCGTTCCGGGACAATTTGGACAAATCTTGCTGTATCATATATGCGGTGCAGCTTTTCCCAGTCCACGTGGAAACTTCCAAACGACATTTCTCCAGGAGCTCTGCGCTTGCTACTGCATGCTCCAAGGCAGAAGCTGGGGTTGCACCGGCCTTGGGCCCGAATGAAAATGTTTTCAGACCATCCACGTTCCAGAGCTTTCTCCGCTTGTCCAATTTGACACCCTTCTCCTTGGCCATGGACACCTGCTCTTCCGTCACCAATTCTTCACCATGTGCCTAGAGATACAAAGTCTGGAGAATGAAAGCCCACCACAGAAAGATCTCCTATCAATTCCAAGGGCCTCCATCACTCCATCTCTACACTCCACAGTCACAACCCTGACCCTACGATGGCACACCTGGGGAAACCAGCCAACACAAAGCTGGCACACAGCCCCAACCCCAATTCAAGGAGCCTGATCAGCTGGCGCTTCCCCATCCGGCTTTCCTGCTCCTTCCTGCCGGGCATTGTTGGGC